AGAAAAGACAAAAAAAATCTGGAATGGAAAAAAAGATAGACCTATTGGTTCTCAGACTTCTCCCGGTTTCCCATACAACAGAAAATCCAACAAGGGCTTTTGCATAGACAGCCGGCAACACATCCTGAATATTGAACATGAAGCGCTTACTTTCGTCTTCAGTCAACAGCAAACAAAATCCCGATTTCTTTCTAGAGAATTGAGCGATCTCCTTTACTCAGAAACCTGAAAGCCTTCCTTCGTACAAAAATGTTGTCATTAAGGATCATAGCAGTTTTTGTACTAGTAGTGTTTTTTGGGCTCTGGTCATCAGTGTTGTGTCTGCCTGTGAAGCAACAAAGTGGCGCCCAACACGACAACACGACAGAACTACATAGTAATTCTACTTCACATTCACCACATGAGAAGTCCACATTTAAAGTAGCGACCGTTGATTTTAACAATGTTGCTGGTCCTTTCACGATCATGCTATGGATCCTGATAGCAAGCTTCGCAAAACTCGGTAAGTGATGGGTGTAGCTTTGTTGTCTTCGCAAAATACTTTGAATAATTCCGTTCAAATTCACTGATCTTTTTGTTTTAAGTTTAATCGTAATCCAAAAAAAAATATTATTAAGCATTCAAAAACACCATCGAACCCAAATTTTTTGAGCATACGATAAATAATTCCTTTGATAATAAGCGTGATCATTTTATTGGTGTTAATCTTATAATAATAGCGTAATTTTCCTAGCACTACTAAAATGCTTTTCGAATTTTTTTTCTTCAAATTTGTATTCCCTCGTGAGAATAGTAAGGCAGTTATTGGTAATTTATAACTAAACAAAAGAAAGTGTTCAAGAGATTCTGGTAGAGGTAGCTAGTAAATGACGCCACAATGAAAGTGTCTTATTGAAATTCTTTTCGTATTTGCATCATCTATAATATATGCATTGACCTTATAATGAATGTTTGTTAAATAATTTGATCATTTCAGGGTTTCATATGTCTTCAAGATTGTCTTCATTATTCCCAGAATCAAGGTTAGACTGGTTAATTAATTTCAAAGGAATTTATTTTTATTCCTTAAAATTATTTTGACAAAATATTATGTCCTACGAGATCTACTGCTACAGCAACCACATTAATTTTTTTTTGAATTTAAATTTACCTCAAGCTGATCTGAGAAAAATTGTTTGCCAATCAGACTGAGGTGTCACTTTTAAAAATTATAAATTTGCAGGCCACCAAATGAAAAAAAATGTTGCTTATAAGAGTGCTTGATAACAGTGACACACTAATTAATAAATTATATATTTTTGTCAGGCATGTTTTTTATTTTTCGCTTAACAAGTCAGTTTTCACAAGCTTCATGACGCCTCAATTTTGCACTGACGTCATTTCTGTCATTATTTCAAATCAGCTGACTATAGCTAGAAAAGTATACTTGATATTGTTAATTAATAAAACCCACCAATTAATCTAAGAATCAAATGAAACATTTACCACACAGCTAGCATAATAAGGATCTTGGAGGTTATATTTTTATCTTGATGTCTGGCTTCAGGTGGTACAAATAGTGAGATAGCATACTCCCCCCCCCCCCCCCCCCCCAGTCAACTCCAAAATTTCATGTGATTGATAGTACGCAATGAAATTTTTAAGCTATATGATTTATTTATAAGTAGCTACTAGGTCAATAGCAACACTCCATTCTTTTTTTTCAGTTTGGTAATTCTTTTAGGAATTCTTATTGGTGGTATACTCAAGTAAGTGCATAATGAGATAAATGGCATCATTATTGACCTCAAACAATGGGTTTAATTTCAGCCATGCAAGCCTGTAAATTAGTGGTTTTGACTGTTGAATGTTCAGTCTTGCTGCATGGAGATGCTGACTGGAATCTTCTGTTAGGATGTGGAATATGAAAAAAATATTTTTACCCTAGATTTGAAAAAATATGTTCACTTAAGATTACAAAACTCAAAGCAGATTTTTCAAGTATATGCTACCAGGGTCAGAAATGACGAGGGAAAAGTTAATCCGATCAGTGAAAAGGACAGTAAAAGTGTGACACCCCAGCAGCTGCCATTTTGTTTTAGCAGTTTCCTCTTAATAGCATGAAGACGTATAGCATGAATTTTCATGTACACAGAACTTTATTRATATTTTGCAACTTTTTTCTTGCAGAGCTATTGATTTTCATGTACCAGTGTTCACCTCTAGAGTGTTCTTCCTTTTCATGCTTCCTCCGTAAGTATTTTTGAATTATTTTACTTTAYGTATAGTTGACTTTTGCAAATGATTTGTTCTTAATTGAGGCTAAGCCTGTGCAGATGAGTCTTTAGTCATAAAAYGCAGCTGTATTTACCAAATGACAACAAGGAATTTATCCTTACATTTTTCTTTCATACTTGTCACAGGAATTTTTTTTAAAACATAAAATTAATGGTTGTCTTAAGATATTATTACTACAGTTGCTTGCTAATGTCAAGTCACCCCTTTGACAGTTTTCTGTGAATTTGAAAATTCTTAAATTTTTTTTCAAAGCGTGACTTTTTTCTCTCTTTTATAGTATTGTACTTGAAGCTGGCTACTTCCTTCAGGACAGRGCCTTCTTTGATAACATTGGTACTATTCTTCTCTATGCTGTAGTGGTTAGTATTTYGATTATTGAGCTAGTTTTTTTCTATTTTAAAATACTTAATAGAATGGAAAATATTATTCATTGTGGATATRAATCAAAGATTCTACTCAGGGTTCATGCTACTCCTTAAACTCCTTGAATTGAATTCACATTTTTAAGGGCACTTGAAAAGCTCTTGAATTTTATGATTTTAGCAAAACTTCTTGAAAAATCCTTGAATTTTTTGCTTGATCATTACTTGCATGGTTCTGAAATAGATCTGTAGTCAGAAAAATTGGAAAATTTGAAAGTCRGCCATGTGCAACCACCGTGTAAARCCTTGGCATAKTTAGCTGAACATACTCCTTGAAAATTCATTTTTGGGTYCTTGTATACTCCTTGAATAGTCCTTGARTTTTAAGTGGTTACCTCAGCACRAACCCTGATRCTATTYATTTGTTTCACGAYYGTGGCAYGATYGTAGTGGTCSTYCCAACAGTGCCATAATTTATCAAATTGAGCTGATCTTCGCAGTATATGAATGTGCCACAATYGTGAGACAAATGAATAAGTATAATCTTTGATTTAAAATAATTCTTGGRACATTAATTTGGTGGTGGTTGGTTTATATTTGATTGAGTAGTAATCTTTTTCTTTGATGCTAATATTAAGTATATTTTGTTGTTTCTTTTTAGGGAACCTTATTTAATGCCTTTGCCGTAGGTAAAGTATGAAATATTATAGTRTAATAATTTGCTAACAAACATTATATTATGCATAATTTGCTTGCTTACTTACCTGATTTTATTGTTATCCTACATACAGGGCTCTCTCTCTATGGATTAACCAAGAACGTGGTTCATCTGTCTCTTATGCAGTGTTTGATATTTGGAGCACTGATAGCTGCTGTTGATCCWGTAGCTGTAAGTACAGGTTGACCTAAAGTTCATAAAGAATTTAGCAACTTTATTTAGAGAGGGTGACACACACTAGAGAGGCACAACTTATGAACTTCTGGCCCTCTACATGTATGTTTGATGTCTCTAAATGAGTTTTTTTTTTGTTTGGACTGCCATTTTATGCTGCCAGAGGAATTGCAAAGGCTTAACCATCTGCACAAAAAGCCAAGGGAGGACCTTCTACTTAAGACCTAAGGCATTTGTTGTAGTACCATGGGGCTTGGATAATTCCATGACTTTTAAAATTATAATTTAACAGTGAAAATAGACTCACTGGTCCTGACACRATTGAGAACCAGACAAGTACATTTTRTWMATAATGAATTTGTGCACAAGATGARTGTTCTTTTGAAGATTCACTGTAAATAGGGATCATAATCATTAATTAATATTCATTTTTGAATCCCCCTACTTGATTCATTTTAAATAGTCCTTTTTCTCATATCCTAAATACTGCTTTGTTTTAAGACTGAAGACTCATCTCTGCAGGCTTATAGCCTTGCTTAAGAGTAAATCATTTGCAAATGTCAACTTTAATGTAAAGAATGTGCAGCATGAACAATACCAATGTTTTGAAATCCCATGGACTTTTATTGGTATCAGTGAATAGCTGACTTATAAAYGAGGCTASGCCTGTGCAAATGAGTCTGTGGTCTTCAAAAACAGWGGTATGCATYGAATGTGAAACTGGTGTATTGTATTAAGAAGCTAAGTGTGTGTTATTGGTCCTGTATATACATGTAGGTATTGGCTGTGTTTGAAGAAGTCAAGGTTAATGTGATGCTCTACATATTGGTGTTTGGAGAATCMCTTTTAAATGGTTAGTCATTAAACTTACGTTGATCAATAATGATCAATTATCATTTAT